GAAAACAAAAGAAGACGTGCTCACACTGTAAGGCATGAGCAGGAGCCATCAAAAAAACAAGCTACTGGCTAGGATTGTTAAAGTCACAGCTTCAACAAAACAAAAAATATGACAAAAAGTATGACTAAATACGACTAGACTAAGCGCATTTGACAAGTATTTGCTTCGTATAGAGTATGGTACAGGGAGAAAGTAAGTTTGCATCACATTAAAATTACCTTTAAAAGTTTCTGCTCCTTATTACTCGTTTTTATAGTCATAGAAGCTGAAAGTTCTGTTAGGTATAGAGAGGTAACGGCATTAGATCTTCGGGTATTTTTGAACACTAAATATGCCGTAGGTACAAATTTCCTTTTTACCTTCTCCTATTAATAATTGATAAAGCACTATATTTAAAAATGAAGTTTTTTTATAGCTTCTACCCTAATAAGTTATTACCAACTCAGAATACATCAAATACTCTGGGTTCACTCCAGGGATGACTACTGTAAAGATCTGGAATTAAATTTAAGGAAACTATTAATCATCAGCGCAAAGGATTACATTAGGTGTAAGCATTGAGAGGCGACGCCTTCCCACGCCTTTTCGTGAAAGAATTACCAAACTGCTGAAAGTAACGTTCGCCCAATAAGCTTGCTTCTGTCCATTGCCGAAACCTACACAGAAAAAGATCAGGTGAGGAAAAAACTAATAAATTGATTTACAACATCACCTTAAACTTCATTTTCCCACGAGAGAACGAAGACATATGATGAAATACAAAAAGTTAAAGCTAACCTCGTCAAATGTCTAAAAAGTCTAAAATGTTTAGACTGCGACCAGCCACTCCCTATAGAAATCTTCAAGCACAAAAGATCCATTTCCTCTACGTGGTAGATTAAATTCACGGATACTGAATAACTTAAGAGGCGAGATAAATGTTCCAGCTGATTGGTCTGAAAATATTTGAAAAATACAGCAATACAGAAATGGAAAGATGTAAAATAACCATTTCAAGAAGTTAACTTTAAAACAAATACGAGGCATACCTGTGACGATATGGTTAGTTGCTTCAAGTTCGGAAAAAAAGGACCTTCCGGGAGATGGACATTGTCAATTGGTGCAATAGTAAACTCATTGAAACAGCTCTGCTCTTTGACTGTGGTTCTGGACTGACATAACAAAGAAACTAGCAACTTCACCTGCCTTTTATTAACCTGTAAATACAGAAGTATTTCAAAATGCTGGTAAAGAATGGACACAGCCAGTGAGATAGACAAATAACTCATAGGACAACTAAAAAGTGACACTAAATAACAACTATTTTTTAAGAAACGGAAGAAACAGACCTCGGCCACAAGCATTTCTATTATTGGACTATCAATACATAAATGTTCTACGTTTCGACTAAGTGTGATCAATAAGTGAAACAATGCTCTAACATCCTTCCATTTCAGTAACGAATCAACTGCGATCCCTAAATGATTAGGTCCAAGTTCGACGGCAACAAGAGTTAAAGTTGGATGCCAATCCAAACGGTCTGCAAATGCGAGAAAGACTAACAAAGTGCTTATATGCTGCATAAATATATTTGAAGATACCTTCAAAATGAATCTGACGAAAGAATGAAGTAATATAATAAAACATAAATCCTTACTTTGATTATGCATTTCCTCTCGAAGTTTCTTGAGCCTCGAGTATACCTGAACGTCGATTCGAGTGTATGAATTCAAGCGTTTTTGAGCGGCCTTTCTAAACTTTTTTGAGACTCTCTGCCATTTTATTACATCAAACAAGGACGCCTGAAAACGACGTAATTCGATAAGTGGTAATTCAGAGAAATTAATAAATGAATATTACCCTACCAACCCAAAGAAAGGTACAGTTTTTGTCACTATGCAAAACACGTGCAGAGGAAGGTGAAGAAAATAAGAGAATACTGTCACTTCAGTTTAAATCTCACTGTACGATAAAGAAAAACTTCTTTATGCAATTGCAAAAGTCTCAGATAAGTTACTAAACTTGATCTTTAATTCCTGCGTAAAAGTAAAACTTTTTGTAGTACTTCTCAGAAAGCTAAGACGAATTATTTGAAAACTCATCAAACACCGACTGTCACATTCAAATGTATACTGACATTACATGTTTCAAAATAATTTCTTCACACCGCTTCCTAAAAAAAGAACGTTAACTTCTGCATTCCCGGAAGTTGAAATATAGTCCAGGTTCAGGAACGAAAATAAAGCTATTATGACTTTAAATGGATCGGAACAAACTCCTTTCCTACCGCTACCAATACGACAATGGATATCAACTGAAGCGATATAAAAAAAAAGAAAAAAACCTATAATGACATGCAATATTCGCTCTCAGCACCGAAACTTAATGTTAACTGACAGATCTTTATCGTTTTAATACTAATGATTCTGTTTTCCATTCTCATCGTTTTCATTAAAAATTCCACCAAAGGCGTCCACTTCAAAAGCAGACCTAATAAGCAAAAAATCTTTAGTAATACAAAATTGTTACAAATTCCGCATGAATACTTACAGAAAACAAAGCTAAGTTCAATCGTTAAGAGCAAGCCAGCGTAAAAAGCTACAGTTATAGTGATCAAGCACGTAAAAAAATTTGCCTAAACTTAATGATTATTGGATTGATCTATTGAGACCCTTTTAGGAGTTTAACAAGCACTCACTGTTCGCAAAAACTTGAGGTAATACGGAATGCACTGAATAAAAAGCCTATTTCGCCCGTATAAAAACAAAAGAAGAACCATGTATGTAGTACTTTACCTTATTCACTAGGAGTTCAGCTAATTTTTTTTCATCATAATTTGAAGTACACGCATTACTCGAACAACAGCGACGACAGAAGCTATCAACCACTTGTAGAGGTAACATCAGCGCCATTTCTAACCAGATCCCCTAAGAAAACACCGAAACGAATATTAAACATATCATCATACCTCCACTAAATTCAAAAAGCGAAGGAATACCCGCAGACACTTTGATAGTTAGAACGAAAGTAAATTTTAGCAATTCGAGCGAACAACAAAAAATTGCAAATACCAAATTATGACGGTCGTTTAATTCCGCCCTAAAATATCAGTCCTCGTTTATGCTCAATTTAAATGTGAAAAGTTCAATTCAAATATTCGAAATATTCAGAAACTCTTTTAAACAAGTTCTTTCTACGACTGAGCAACTGAGAAACATCATCTGGAAATTATTGCAGCAGAAACGGCACTGTCCACCGTATACTGTGGATAAACATATTAGAAGAGAAAGTATACAAAGAATAAGTCAATGAAGAATATTAGCCAGTGACGATAAACCGTCTCAAATCAGTAAACCATATTTGCATGTCAAAAAATTGAGTGAAAGAGATAACCAACGGGTCAGTCAACAGAACTGGTCTAAGACTAAATATGGTAGCCTGCGTGTATTTTAACGCCTGAAGTCGTAAAAAGTTCAGAATTCCTCCCCTTAAAAAATGTTACCAATGAAAACCTTCCCTTACTTTCCTAATAGCAACACCACAGAGGATTAGAGTAGCTTCCACACCACCCCGACGAGTAAAATCACGTTAATTTCCCGTTCGTCTCCCACTACTACGTTTCACGTTCCTAGCACATTTCATTCCAACCTCCTCATGGACCGTGCTACACAAGAACAGTTTGCAAAAAGCAGCTCTTACTGCAGATAGGTATGATCCTCGTTGTTGTTTTTAAAACACCAGTACAACGCTGACGACGACAAAAATCCCTTGACTTTTGTTTCAATTTCAGGTAATCTCCAAAGCTGAAGGATGGAACCCTCTAATACCGATTCTGTCTTAAAATAAATGACCATTACCTCACTCATTTCAATTATATAACTCCTTCTTGGCCTTCCTACTTATTTTTTTTAATTAAAGTCACAAGCTGTTCATGTCCCAATGTCCTCTAATAAAGGCTTATTATCAACTAAAAATAGATTTTATTGTTAATTGAGGCATTTAATTATCCCAGAACTATCGAAATCAAGCAATCCTATAGCGTTTTTTTTTGCCCTATTTTCGACAGAAACCCTAACTAGCTACATGAGTGCCGCAAGTTTTAAATATGGAAGGTTTGCACCCTCTCTATATTCCTCTACCAACTTCAATCGACTTTACTCGCCAGACTCGCCCCTCGACTTCTTGACGGCACTTCTCCTCTTAGAGGGAGCAAGGGAAAAAAAGGAATTCCCCGTAGCAGGCACCAGCCGTAGTGAAATCTAAAAAAAAAACAAGTAAATTGAAGCAAATAATAAGTAAACAAACACGGACAAAAAAATCTTCAAAGATAAAACACAAAAAACAACATGTATTTCACGATGAACAAAAAATTTCATAAATACACCAAACACGTACACATTTAGCACCAACAGAACCGAGAACTTTTCAAAATTTGCTTTTATTTGTGTCAACAACTATATAAAAACTTAAACAGAACGAGACTACCAGAAGAAAATAAAACAAAAAAAAAAAAAAGAAAAAAATTTTTTAACTCTCCCTCCGCAGCTGTTTCACAGAGAGAAAACAGCAGTCACCTAAGAAAAAAATAAATGGCCAAGAAGAATTGTCTTTTTTTTTGTGACGGTGTTGGTGGATAAACAAAAAACCTAAACCCACCAAAAAAACACGACAGCCATACCCCAACTGCTCTCCAAAATACAGCCAACAGCCAATACACAGAGAAACCATGCAAATCAATATTTCAAAATGCATTTAGTCAATAAAAAAACTTAAATTCTACTTGCTTAACACGGACGGAACACCAAATCCACCAACAACGTTGTGGATCTTCGACGACGATGAAGTTGAATCTGCAGTTTCCAATCATCCGCAAAAGAAAACACGCACTCCTACTTCTGCCAAATAAAATGAAGACAAGCACTGTTGTAACCATATCTGCACATCAAACAAAATTTTTACAGGAGCATCGCCGGTGGGTAATAAACATAAACTAGTGAATCGTTAACCAACGAAGATTACACCTCAGAAACGTCGGAAAACTATATTTTTACCATGCAGAGCATTGTAAGCATCAAAACAAACCAATCTCGCAAGGCTCAAAGCGACGATGATGACTGCGGCAACGTGACGATGACTAGCAACCTGTCTACCTACAACATATGTTTGCTTTAACATAACAATACAAAAGAATGCCGAATGTTATCATGGTAAAAAGAGGTAACCACGTAATAAAACAATAACCAACTGTGTAACGATAAGTTTACCTGGATTAACACTGCAAATCACAAGAAAAAAAAAAAGAAGTAAAGGTAAAACAAAACAAGAAAGAAAAAATGGAGAGAAACGAATAAAAACCAAGACGGCCCAGAGAATGAAGTTACACAACCTGAACGCGGTAAAAGGGATGCTGGTACTGATACAGCAGAGGTACTGACTGGGTGGTTAAAAAATGAAGAAAAACATCGTGTTGACAACTTTAAGACCCCTACTAGAAAACCAGTTAAATACAAAATTAAAAAAAAATCTAAAGGAGAAAGCCATCATGAATTTGCAATTGAAAAAAAAAAAAACAGTTCAAACAGTAACCAAAGTTTTTTTTTAACTGAACCAAGTACTACTGCTTTCATAACAAAAAAAAGAGAAACAGAATTCACCAAATCATTCAGCTACCCCTATCCCACCTACCCAACTACCGGTCTCTGTATCTACCTAAGCAGCCACCTAACCATTGTATTCCTCCCAGTGCTGCTCTCCGGACAACGATAAACCCACAGACATACACATACTCACATACAAACACACACGAAAAAAAAAAGATATCCACATAAACCTCCATCATACTCATACAAAAATTCTGGTACAGCAGTCAACCGACCAAGCAACTAACTAACCAACAACGAAATCAACAGCCGCATCAGAATAACGAGCATCGGCAGCAACAGCAGCCAACACCAACAACAACAACGACAACGACAACAACAACGGTATTAGACGACGAAAACAGACTGATTGATAAACGCTTTACACTATGGCTGTATCAAAGTTATTAGACAGGCAAAAAATGTGCAAAATTTATGAACCAAAAAATGCTGGTAGAGAAGTAAACAAATCTTATAACAACGAAAAATCTATAGAGCTATCATCAGAAAACTTCTTATAGTGCACTGCGAGTACGCAGAGATAAAAAGATATTAATAAGATTGCAGCAAAATTCATGTTTGATGCCCGATGCAGAGAAAAAAAGACGGCAAAGCACTTGTGGTCAGGGAACAAGACATCATTTTCGCACTGTTCATAGCGACATTAACTGTGGTGTGTCCGTTTGTCTGTTTGGCTTTAATAAAGGGGGATGTGGGTGTGTGAGTGTATACGTCATTGCTTCAATTTTGTTTTGCTAGATTTCAGATGGAACATCGATAGTTGTTGTTGTTGTTCTGGTCTGATGCATTTGTGGCTGGTTATCATAGTTATATAGTTTAGTTATTTAGTCGTTTATTAATATTTGAGAAAGCGACGGTGTATCTGAATAGAATATGACGCATAAACACGCATACAGATAAACAACAAATACTTTACATATAAACTTATCGAAAAAATGCAGTAACCAAATGACGAATAGGCGAAAATATGTAGCGTAGACTGATTGAAATACAGACTTCAGGAAAAGATGTAACTGCTGTTTAATGGATCAACAAAAGCAACAGTAATTATCGTCAATTTATAATTTACTCAGCTGAAGGCTGTTCTACAGCACTACGACGTTCACTTTTTCTAAGAGCGCACACCTGTCATATTCAAAGGATAACTAAACTCTTACGAAGGATTTTCTTGCTCAATTTTTCGCGTTAAATGATCAAGTGGGTTAAAAGAAAAGAAAAAAAAAGGTGTGTAGATATACTCGCCTTAATATAAAAGTTCCTTTAAATTATGTGCAAATAATATTACAGATTAGGTAGCTTTAAATTAGAAATATTATTATTGCATAATCAAAATAATTCAATTAATTTTTTAAAAAATGAGGGAAGCGAAAAACAGTTTGGTCGAATACAATCAGTAATGCTTATTTTCTTTTCTTTTTCTTTTTCTTTCGTTTGATTAGTTGTTTAAAACTGTTTTGTTGAGAAAAGGAAGAATGCACTTCAGTGGGGTTTCTGTTGCAAAGAAAACAAAATTTTTTTCACATAGAATTGTTTTTTTTTCAGTTTGCTTGCCAATTTTTCAGAAATGTTCTTTCTTTTCTTTTTTTTTTGTTTTTGTTTTCTAACTGCATCTTTTGAATTTAACAAACATTGTCATCATTATACGTCATTCGATTGAATTCAGTATCTTCATGACAAATAACCATCACTCATCCCTGCATCGAAAACACTTTTTTTTTTGATAGGATACCGTAAACTGACATTAAACTAAAATTTTTACTAATGTTCTTCTGCCATTTTTTTTTTCGTTTTACTGGAAAATATGCTATTGCAAAGACAGGTATTTTTTATTTTAGCGACAGTTTGTTTAGACAGAAATGATGTCACTGTTGCTATTGTCATAGACAATAAATTTTCTAGTTGAAGCTCTATGTAAGGAAAAAAAAGGGTAGAAGTTGAAAGATCAATTAGTAAACTGGTTAATTGATAATTTTTGGTGCTGTAAATAGCGGTGAAGTTTGATGCTCGAACTGTAGCTATAAGCCGTTATCTATGATTTCTTATAGATCATATTTTTCATTGTTCTTGTTGTTCTTTTCTAAAAGTTTAGATTAGTTAAAACAATGAAACAGCATTTGTAACAGCAGCAACAAAAGAGCAATCAAATAACAAATTTCTTTCTTAACCCCTCCCATTACAACTGATCTCCGCTGCTGTTCATCAATTACTTTTCAATCGTTCATTTACAGAGTAACTTTACAAAACCAGGTTAC